TTTTTTTTTTTTTTTTTTTTTTTTTTTTTTTTTTTTTTTTTTTTTTTTTTACTTCTAATCGGTTAATGACGTTAATACATTTAAAATCCCAGAAAAACATATCGTCTACTCGAAAAGTTTGGCAATAAATGTTACTTTTTTTATAAGTTTTGCCCAAGACCATTTAAATAATTTCACAACTACTTCGATGGTACATAATATGGATATTTCAAACGATTGTGATCTCAAAGAGTTGCAACAGAGAAAAACGGTTTTTGCATTTATGAACACTGACGATCTCTTAAGATAAATATTAACGTGTGTTCTGTTACCTATGTGGCTCAACTTGTAACGGTATTTCCCAAGTTTTTTACATTCGGGGAAATCTGGGTGTTTGCATTCCTGACACCTACGCTAGTATGAATTTCGATGTATTTAAAGTAACTGACTCATAGTTGACGGTACTTAATCGATAAAGAATGCCCACGCACTTGAGCAAATAAATTCCCGAAATTCTCTGGTTTTTCTTGTGCTTTCGCAGGAACGTCAATCGCTTATTTTACACCGTGCGTATATTCCTTATTTTCGTAAGGAGTGATCGTGACTCATTTGATCAGTCAACTCGAATCACATTAAAATTTATTTTGAGCACAAAATTTACCACTGATTTTTTGTCTTGCCGTGTTTCGAAGCACAAACTTTGTATGATGTTGCGGAAAATCCATCACGTGATAACAGCATTAGTGCTCATGAACCCCCAACTTGTCTCAAGAGTTTAATCGTGTCACAAGTTCTAAGACAACGGCCCGAGGCGTATTTACCTTCGCTACACCGAACGCCGTGTTCTTAGGAGAGAGGGAACGTCCTACAAATGACTATTACCGTGATATATTACTGCCATTTGACGATTGCCTCTTCGCAGGGATTTTCCGTGAAGCCTTGTCCTCTCGATCGACATCCTCGCCGGTGTCTGTCTCCGTTTCCCCTATAAGCCCCGTAACTCCGCCCCTAATGCTCTTATACCATGAGACTTGATTTTACGATGTTTTGACCACTTGCCCGTTCATAAAATTTTTGTGTATTTCGAACGTCAACCATGTAAGGGCAAACAACGTTTCACGTGTACTTAACTGGTGATTAGCGTAATGTTTAATCCGCAACGCGATAATCATCTCCTCCTTTCTACCGTTTGAGTGGAATAAAATAAGGTGTCTTTACGAGCAAGGGATGATCTGGTACATTATGTATACATTCCCTCAATTCTAACAACTGATTGATATCGGTTTCCAATGGCAAAACGTTCATTGGATGTCGTACACAATAGCCACCCCCTTCTGGTGTTCGTTATAATTTTTTTAAAATTGATTGATTACAATTAGTTAAAGCCACAGCCAATTTTCCCCACCAATATGTAACTGCGGTTAGAAAAATATTCGAAATTTATTAAACTTTTTTGTAATTTTTTTGTTTATCCATAGAGCACCTCCAATCGCTGGACCTGAGCAGCAACGACCTGACCAGCCAATGGGTCAACCGCGACACCTTCGCCAAGCTGGGCCGACTGTTATTGCTCGACCTGTCGCGCAACGTGCTCACGCGAATCGACGCCCTCGTCTTCCGAAGCTTGAGCCAATTGCGCAGCCTCAGCCTGGAGCACAACAACATCGAGGCTCTCGCCGACGACTGCTTCGCCTCGCTGTCCCGGCTGCGCTCCCTCTCGCTCTCCCACAACAGGCTGGTGCGCTTCCAAGCGACCCACGCTCCGGCCCGTGGACTGGGCCCCGCGCTCCTGGACCAGCTCTTTCTCGACGAGAACAAACTCGAGTTCGTCGAGACGGGGGCCTTTGTCAATTTGACAGCCCTGCAGGATTTGAGACTCAGTGGGAACAGCCTCGGTGTGGTGCCCCAAGCCGTAAGGGAGCTCCGCAATCTCAAAGTCCTGGATCTGGGAAACAATAGGATATCGGACATTCCACCCGACACCTTCCTCGGGCTGGACAAACTGTCGGGCCTGCGGCTGGTCGACAATAAACTGGAGAACGTGTCGCGCAAGGCTTTCTCGGGCCTGCCGGCCCTGCAGATCCTCAACTTGGCCAGCAACGCCATTCGGCACGTGGAGCCAGGCGCGTTCGCCACCAATGGGCTGCTCATAGCTGTCATGCTGGACGGGAACCAACTGACCGAAATACACGGGGTGTTCCGCAGCCTGCCCGCTCTGGTGATGCTCAACATATCCGACAACAAGCTACTGTGGTTCAACTACGGGGACCTGCCGGCGAGCCTCGAGTGGCTGGACATGCACGCCAACCAGATCAGCGACCTGGGCAGCGCCGACTTTGCCGGTAGCCGGCCGGAGCTGCGCATCAAGAAACTCGACGTCAGTTACAACCGTATCGAAGAGATAAGTGACGTGTCGTTCCCCAATAGCGTGGAAAAATTGTACCTGAACAACAATCGTATACGCAGCGTGGCCGCGGGGACGTTCATGCGCAAGGCGCACTTGAAGAAGGCAGTGCTGTCGGGCAACGAGCTGAGGCGGCTCGAGGTCGCGGCCATCGAGCTGCAGCCGGTGCCGAGCGACCGGGAACTCCCCCAGCTGTACATCGGTGGGAACCCGGTGCTCTGCGACTGCACGATGGAGTGGTTGCCCCGCGTGAACGAGTTGTCCCGCATGAGGCAGCACCCCCGGGTCATGGATCTCGATGCCGTGACCTGCGAGATGGTGCACGCCCGAGCGGCCCCCAGGAGGCCCCTCCTCAGTCTCAAGTCCAAGGACTTTGTCTGCCGGTACCAGAGTCACTGCTTCGCCATCTGCCACTGCTGCGACTTTGACGCGTGCGACTGCGAGATGACCTGCCCGGACAACTGCAGCTGCTACCACGACCACAGTTGGTCGAGCAACGTCGTTGATTGCTCGAACGCCGGCTACCGGCTCGTACCTGAGCGCATACCCATGGACGCGACCGAGATCTACCTCGACGGCAACGACCTCGGCGACCTCGGCAGCCACGTCTTCATCGGCAAGCGCAAGCTCGAGGTGCTCTTCCTCAACAACAGCGGCATCTCCGGGCTGCACAACCGCACTTTCAACGGTGCCGAGTCCCTCAAGGTCCTCCACCTCGAGTCCAACGCCCTGCGTGTCCTCCGGGGCTACGAGTTCGATCAGCTCGAGCACGTGCACGAGCTCTACCTCGACCACAACGCCATCGTCGAGGTGTCGAACGCGACTTTCCGAAAGATGAAGAAACTCGAGGTGCTGCGGCTCAACGACAACCGCATAGTCGACTTCAAGCCCTGGGAGGCTCTCCAGCAGCAGCAATTGCAGCGAGCAACGAGCAGCGACAGAGGAATGGCCCCAATGATGACCAGCGTCTCGCTCGAGGGTAACTCCTGGAGCTGCGACTGCGCGAACGCAGCGAGACTTCGGGCCTGGCTGTTGCAAGAGACGCGAACCAGTGCCGCGGCGGCCGCGGCTGCCGAGCGCATGTATTGCCGCGACAACGCCGAGACCATCGCCCAAGCCATCCAACGCTGCGGCGCCGATCCCTCGACCGAGGCGGTCAGCAGCGGCATCGACGGGCTTGGCATGGACGGTGGTGGCGACAGCAGCAGCAGCATAGTCCACCACCATCAGGCGCCCGTGCACGGTGGTAGCTTCGTGCCCATGCTCGCCGGGGCTCTAGCTGCAGTCATCGGGCTCTGTCTCCTCGTAGCCCTGGGCTTCGCCTTCCGTCAGGACGTAAGACTGTGGGCCCACGCGCGCTACGGGCTCCGCCTCGGCAAACTATCTTCCGGGCCGCCCGAGGAGGAGCGGGACCGGTTGTACGACGGCTACCTCGTCTACAGCGAGCGGGACGAGGACTTTGTGACGCGCTACCTAGCCGCGGAGCTCGAGCAGTCCGGGTTGGCTCTGTGCCTCCACCACCGAGACCTACCGCCCACCCGGCCCCAGGAATCACTGCCCCCCGCCGCTGCTGCCGCCCGTAGGATCATCATTGCCTTCTCGCCGGCTTTCCACGCCGGCGAGTGGCAGCATCCCGAGTTCAGGGCGGCCCTGCGGCTAGCCCTCGAAACGATAAGGCCCACGTCCAGGCGAAGGCGGCTCATACTTTTGTTGGCCACTGAGCCGCCTGCCCGCGATCCCGAGTTACAGTTGTTGCTGCAAACGTGTACGGTCCTCGTGTGGGGCGAGAAGAACTTTTGGGCCAAGTTGCGCTTCGCGATGCCCGACTCGGCGGACACGGGCAAGCGCAAGCCCGCCGGGGGACACCATCACCACGGTGGTCCGCTACACCTGGGGAACGCGTTGCCCGCTCGGTACACGGCTGCGCCCTCGGTCGTGCTCGATGCGTGGTCGGCCAAGCCCACCGCCCCCACGCTGCCCTCGCCTGGACTCATTCAGCAGCAGCAGCAGCAGCAGCAGCAACAGTCGCCATCGCCACAACAGCCGGCCCAGCAGCAGATGCACCATCATCATCACCACCACCAGCAGCAGGGCTCGAGCAGCGGGGTGCCCTTGCACGCGCCAACGCCGACACCGACCCAGTCGACGTACGTGAGCTCGGCGTCGAGTCGCACCGAGGACGAGGACAGCGGCCACGAGCAGCACCAGAACCAACAACACCAAAACCAACAGCAGCAACAGCAGCAGCAGCAGCAGCAACACGTGCTCCATCACAACCACCTACACCACCACCACCTGGTGCACCAGGGTGGTTACAGCATGTTGCACCCGAGCGGCTCGGGCGCGGGTAGCCAGAGACCGGCGAGCATAGCCTCGAGGAGCAGCCACCTGTACAGCACGATACCGGAGCTCACGGTCCAGGCCAACGCGTTCGGCAACGCGCCGATACCGATCAACCCCCGTACTTACTTTGTTTAAAGGACCTCGTCAGGCAGTGCCAGTGTTGTTGTTCTTGTTGTTGTTGTTCTTGTTGTTGTTGTTGTTGTTTTCCTCGTTACGTAAAAACGTTTGTTTATTTATTTGAGTTTTTTCTTTTCTTTTTTTTTTTTTTTTTTTTTTTTTTTTTTTTTTTTTTTTTTTTTTTTTTTTTTTTTT